GGTTAACCCTTCACACTGATCTGGGGAAAATGAACTGTTATGTATGTGCCCTACACCCCAACAATTCAGGATTGCCCCTTTACCACCAACCACTTCCTGTGTGGTTTTTCATTGACAGCAACATTACAGATACTCATGACCTTTTCTGTTGTAAAATTCACAGTATGTATTTCCTCCACAGAGATTAACTCATACTTTCTTTCATTTAATTGGCAAAAACAGAACAACTAATATGTGTTTGTTAACATTATAATTAAGTCTTGACATTAAAGTACTTATTTACATAGGATGAGTGTATTGGGCTTTCCCATCTGGTCTCTGTATTCATACGCTTTCCCCAGTGTACATTTTGTAACCATACAATGAGGTAGACATTTTTGCTCAAGCCTCACCCCGTGAATGTATATGAGTGTGTCTTATGGGTTTTGTGAGACATAAAATAAGATGTAATTGGTCATTGAAGGCCCTACCACATTCAATGTATTTATCGGCACTACTACGTTCACTGTGTTCGTAAGGTTTCTCTGCTGTAGCAATTCCCTGTTGTCTACTGAGGGTTCACTTCTGGCAACAGACGGCCCCACAAGAACCACGTTCCCATCTGTTAGGAGCCCACTGGTGCTTACTGATGCCTGGGCTGCCACAGTGGGCATCTGCACAGTCACTGTACTGACAGGGCTCTTCGCCTGTGTGACAGCACTGCTATGGGATGAGCTATGACTCGCTCTGGAAGGGTTTTCCACCCTGACTGAATCCACATGTTTCTCTCTTGTGTGTTTTCTTTCATGTGAAAAACAGCTAGAAGCATGGGCACAAGTTTTTCCACGCTCATTACAGCTATACAGTGTCTTTCCTGTATGAGACTTTTGATGTACAATGAGCTTTGACTTCGATTCAAAGACTTTTTCACATTCACTGCAATGAAAGGTTTTCTCTCTTGTGTGAATTTTCTGATGTCTAGTGAGAGTTTCCTTGTGGGAATAAGATTTTCCACATTCACTGCATGAAAAGGCAATCCTTCCTGTGTGAGACTGATGATGTGCTTTGAGGCGTAACTTTTGGCTGAAGGCTTTCCCACATTCACCGCACACATAGGGCTTCTCTCCAGTATGAATTCGTTGATGAATAACGAGACTTCCCTTCTGGCTGAAGCCTTTTCCACATTCACCACATACATAGGGTCTCTCTCCAGTATGAATTCGCTGATGAATAATGAGCGTTCCCTTATAAATGAAGCCTTTCCCACAGTCACCACATACATAGGGTCTCTCTCCAGTATGAATTCGCTGATGGATAATGAGATGTCCCTTATGGATAAAGGCTTTCCCACATTCACCACACAAATAGGGCTTCTCTCCACTATGAATTCGCTGGTGGATTATGAGCTGTCCCTTCCGGGCGAAGGCTTTTCCACATTCACAGCATACATATGGTTTCTCTCCAGTATGAGTTCGCTGATGAATAGTGAGATCTCCTTTATGGATAAAGCCTTTCTCACATTCATTGCATACATAGGGCTTCTCTCCAGTGTGAGTTCGCTGATGGATAACAAGACTTCCCTTATGATTGAAGCCTTTCCCACATTCACTGCATACATAGGGTTTCTCTCCAGTATGAATTCGTTGATGAGTAACAAGACTTCCCTTACGGTTGAAGCCTTTCCCACATTCACCACACACATAGGGTTTCTCTCCAGTGTGAGTTCGCTGATGGATAACGAGACTTCCCTTATGGTTGAAGCCTTTCCCACACTCACTACACACATGTGGTTTCTCTGTTTTGTGACTTTTCTGATCTTTAATGAGTAGGGACCTTGTGCTGTTTGATTTTTGACTCCCAGGAAATTTCATTTCAGCACAAAATTGCTCATGGTCATCATGGAGAAAGGTTTCCTCATCTCCATTAACCTCAGCGGTGTTCTTAATTTTATTGCTTCTGCTCTGGTTGACTGCCGGTGAAGTGAAATTTGATTTCACAGCTTCTTCATGCAAGTCAAACATACCATGATCTTCTCTTAAAGGAAAATGATTTTGGTGCTGATGAACAATATTGTCCAATGTGTTATGTTCATAACATTGTTCCACTCTGTCCACTGTTCTTCCATTCTGAGAATATCCCAGAAGATGACCATCAACTTTCTGGATTTCTAGGAAAGAAGAGAACAATGAATCCTTCCACTCTCCAGAACTGGAATGAAGCCATTTAAAAAATGCATTGATGGAAGGTGGATCTTTAGTGACAACCCTCTGTTATGAGTGTGAATATATTACCAAGCTTAATATTCCTTACATGTTGATAAAAACAGAATAATGTAAACCAACCAAACACAAAAGCTATGAGTGTAGAAACAAGGTAAGATAATAGATAATGAATGAAGACAAGTTTGGATGCCTCCCAAATAAGGCTGTGTAAAACATGAACAGAATGTAAAATACAAGCAAGTCACTATGACCTGTAGACAGGCTGTAAGGCCCCCCAGATCCCAACTGCAGAAGGACAGATTTATTCACACCACAAATCCTTACTGAAAGACAACTATTCACCAGGCATAGTTAGCTATGTGAACATTACAGAGTGTTAAACCTAGAAGACAATTTTGACACATGCCTCATAAAGTTATTGGGGACACACAGATTCCTTATGTTTATGGATCCTATACTCTAGTTTCACAAAGTACTGGAGGAAGGGGGGGGGAAGGAAACCCATAAAGGAAGGAGCTGCAGATTGTGAAAAGTGGCTTTTATGAGAGGGCTAGGAAGGAGTGGAGAAAATGAGGACACAGTTTGAAGGATGAGAAGGCTTCACTGTTGACAGGGTGGAATAAAGAAAGGGAGGAACAAAGGGTTGCTGCTAAGTATTTCAATGGAGCCATGAGGCAGTGTCTTTTAATGAGATGAGGAATATCACTGATGTATAGAATGTTCAAGAGAACATTCTGAAGACAAGCAACTTCAAGATGTTTATTACATATATAAGCATAGAAATAAAGTAAATCTGAAAGATGACTATCCTGAATAGAGGTAACAATTTAGAAAACTTTAGTATTTAACTATAATTTAAGGACACAGATAACAGAATAAGATCTTGTTTGGAGAATATGTGCATTAAAAGGAGAGGAACACCAACGTTTTAATCATTCTAATAGTTAGAACTTTGGAATTGGAAAAGTCCACTTAGCAACTGAAGCGAAGACAGTAGGAAAACTTACAGTGAACTAGGAGAAAGATTAGAATTAGTGTGGGACTAAGAACTCAATTTGCCTTTTGTTTTTGATCCCTTGAAAGATTAAAAAAATAAACCAAACACACTGATGAAGACTAAATGCCAACTCACAGCAACCCTGAAGGACAGAGTACAACTGCCTCATAGGGTTTCCAAGGTGGTAAACTTTATGGATGCAGACTGGCACATCTTTCTCTCGCCAGAGGGGCTGGTGGGTTTAAAGAACTGACGCTTGGTTAGTAGCCAAGTTATCAACTGCTGTGCCAACCAGGCTCCTTCCTTGAAAGAAAACCCTTAGAATTGTCTAGCAATCAAGGTGTGCTTGTGTTTTGTAACAGTCAGTCAAAACTTAGAAGGTGTGGAAATGATCGGGGCTACACAGACACATCTGCCAACTAACTTGAAGAGGTGAAGGGACTTGTTACAACCCTTCATGCTTTTTCATTTTTTCACTCAACAATGCCCAGGTGACAAGGTTCCAAGTATGAGTGCAAAATGAACCCAGCAAAAGGCCACAGAAAAGGAAGTTCAAGGCTTCTTGGACTGCTGAGAACATCCATCCATCTATGTCCCTGTAGACAATGGAAGTCTCATGCCAGGACCTCTCCCAGGTCATGCCTGAGGTGCCTCTTCATTGAATCCTCTCTGGTGGCTAACTGTAAATATGAGGAGTCCTGGTTAAACATTCAGCTGCTAACTGAAAGACTGGAGGTTTGAACCTACCAGCTGTTCTTCAAGATAATGATGTGGCAGTGTGCTTCTGTAAAGACTGAAAGCCTTGGAAACCCTATAGGGTAGTGCCACTCTGTCCTCTAGAGGTCTGTGAGTTGGCATTGACTCCACACCAGTGGGTGTGGTTTGGGCTTTGCTTCCATACAGATTGACAGACTGGGAGACCCTCTGGGGCAGTTCCACTCTGTCCTATAGGGTCATTATGAGTTGGAATCGACTTGAGGGCATGGGTTTGGTTTGGTTTGGAATTGTAAGTAGAAGTAGTCTATGTAAATTCTGTGAGTTTTCCTAAAGAATTAATGAACCCAAAAGGGGAAAAGAGCCTGCAGGGCTGGTGCTAGGAAGGGAAATCTGTAATACCCAATGGGTGAGAGAGGTGACATATGCTGAGGGCGTTTATGAATGCAAAGCTCTCTCTTTGGTGAGAGGTCTGGAAGGTGGAATTTCATAGTAAGGGAGGTGAAGGAGATGAAGAGGAAAAAGATTGGAGAATCCCAGGAAGAAGAAAATTGTGGAACCAAAGTTACCAATATGTAGATCAAATAAACAGGGATCTGATCTCAGAAGAGACAGAAGAGGATATTATTTCTCTAAACTCCTAGAAAGAAAAAGGTCTTAAGTGGGGAAAGGGAGATGGGGAGGTATTTTAATTCATCCTCCGAAATCACTCACAGATGTAACACCTCCTCTGAGCTGAATGTGACTTCCACAGCCTTCCCCTCTTGCTGCTTTGTGCCCGCTCACCTGAGAAGATTCTACTATGGCTGTCATCTACCACAGTCCAGGGCTGTTCTCCTTGTTCCAGCCTGGACAGTGCATCTGGTTTGCTACCTCGATACCCTGTTCATGGGAAATCAGACTCTTAGACACATCAGATGGCCTTGGGTTTTTGAAGACTGCAGAATGCTGTATTTGTGAATAAACAACTGTCATATGTACAAATGAAAGGTTCTTCTGTCAAGACTGGAAAGAACATACTCAACCATCTAGGGCCAGAGAGTAGAACGCAAATCTATCTCGTCCAAGTACCACAGACACTGCAAAGGTCTCAGCAGCCAAGAAAGGAAAGGCCAATGACAGGAAAGCCGTCCTCACCAATGGACACCAGGTTGCTGTAGTTCTCCAGCATCACGTCCTGGCACAGGGCCCTCTGAGCAGGGTCCAGGAGCCGCCACTCCTCCCTGGTGAACGTCACAACCACATCGCTGAATGTCAGTGATCCCTGTATCAAGAGGATTCTGTTTAATGAAGTATTTTCCATTTGATGATATGACTGAAATGTGAGAGAAGTTCTGCCCATTTCCTCTATACAGGCTGCTGCATACATATGCCTAGGTTTTTTTTTTTTTTTTTTTTTAAATATCTTAGAGAAGATGGAAAATCATAATAAGCTATGCTGAATCTGTGCATTCCATAATCAATGCACCCACTCATGAAGTTAAATTTTCTCTGATGCGTAACAGTGACATAGTGTTTGTAAGCTAGAAATATGCCATGTTTATATATACACACACACATATAATACACAAACATATGTATATATATTAACAGGTAAGTTGATAGCGTACTATGAAACGGCACGAGGAATAATGGCTGTAATAGGGGCATTGTCAGAAACTGTCTAATTTCAGGAGAAATAATTATTAGAATCAGTTCAAGACTGATCTCTTTGAGGTGAAGGTCAGAGATACCTTCACCCTCCAATGTTTCACCAATTCAGACACCAGGTGTCTCTCCTATGGCACTCTCTGCTTCTCCTCTGGGTTTGTTATCCCACTGCAATGGCCACAAAGAACTCACAAAACATTCCTACAGTTAAGTGGTTGATTAATGAGCCGGGTACGACTCAAGGTCAGGATCAACAGCCTAACTAGGGATACAGGATCGGGAAGTATATGTAGTCTCCCTTCCTCAGTGCAGGACAACTCTCTCAGCTCCACTTGGCCTCCTGAGGACATTCCCTCTTAGTCCCCTAGAGGCAGGCTACTTTTGCCCCTACCATTTTTCACCACCTGCTACTGGGCTACTTCAGTTCCTCTCACCACTGGCTCTGACCTTGGACCCCTTCCTGGTGTGTCACCTCTGGCTTTGCTGCTGGGCCCTTTCTGGACTTCTCAGTGTCCTCAGTGTTACAGCCTTTGACCATTACAGCCCTTTTAGGAGGTTCCTTGTCTCCCCCTTCTCTCCACTGATTTCCTTCTGCTTCTCTTCTGGCTTCATCCTGCCTGAGAAATCTAAAGGCTGGCTGCTTATATCTACAAACTACATAATCATTTTGTTTCATGACACTGACTGCACTTGCCCACAGTGTAACAGCTCTCTTCCCACCTCCTCCCTGTAGCTACCTCTTCCCTGTGTCCTTCCCTGTGCGTTCCTGCCCCCTGGGCAATCTCCTCATCCAAATGCTGCCCTACTGTTCTCCCACAACTGATCGCTCTAAGGAGTGTATCTACCTGATGGAAATGTTCACCCCATATGCTGGTCTACTGTTTGGCTGGAAGCTACAGGAGTGAGTTCCTGACCTAAAGGGTAACTAGAGACCACAGTCTCAAGGGATTAGGCAATTGTGTGCAATATGCTAGGATGAAAATGAGCCCTCCCAGAGGTGGAAAACGGGGATAACACTACCATCAAGAAAGACCAAGCAGGAGTCGAGTGTGTCCTTAGACCAGCGATCCCTGAGCTGGACCTCCTCAACCCAGGAGAGAGAGAGAAAGAGAGAGAGAGCTGCACAACTTTCCTGAGACAGCAGGGGACAGCAGAGAGATGGGGAGAAGCAGCAGAGGCAGCAGAACCAAGAGACTGGCAGATACAGAGCAGAGGGCTCCTGGCCCAAAGAGCGAGAAACTGTGTGCCTTCAGGCTGGAGGCTCCTGGGGGAGGAGGGTGCTTCTCTGGACACCTAGTGGCAAAGCGAAAAGAGCTCTGCAACACTGGCTCAAGAAGGGCAGAGGCCAAGGCCAGAGAGAAGTATGCCTGTGGCAGAGCCGAGAAAAAGCTGTCCTGACTGAAGAACTGTATCCTGAGCTGTATCTGATCCTGAACTATAACCTGTTACGTCCCTAATGTCATAATCAGGAGTATTGCCTGTGAGTTCTGTAAGGCCACTGCAATGAACTATTAAACCCAGCAGAAAAAGAAGTTAGTGCCATCAGAGGGACACCGCTGACGTCAGAATCGGTGAAAGATTGGAGGACGGAAGCCTTTCTGACCGTCACATAGGACTCAGCTTTGGACTATGAATCTCTATCCTTGGCCTCTTGTGAAGTTACAGGAGGTTCGTTGCAAACTCCATGACCTCTTTGTAAGGTCAAAGCACACCTGACTTTTTTTTTTTTAATTGTGATTTGGGTGAAAGTTTACAGCGCAAATTCACTTTCCATACAGCAGCTCACATACACTTTGTCTC